TTATGGTCGTGTACATCACTAACATTTGTGAACATATCACACAAGTAATCGGGGACCAATTTGTTTTTCACCTTGTACATGAGAATTGAAAGTTGTTGCATTCTTCTTTTTTCGAGGTTCGGAACTTTTAGCTTGTTTAATATATCAGCCGATCGTGTCGTATAATTCTCACGAGTGATTATTCGAAACGCTCTGTTTTGTAATTTTTGGACTTTAGCTGCTAATGTTTTCCCTAAGCAACCCCACACTTGAGCACAATAATCGAAATAAGGTTGAATTATGGATTGGTATATTGTTATTAAGGTATTGAATTCGACTGTATCCCGGAGTCGTCTGAGAATAGCAAGGCCTGAAGTGACCTTTTTTGAAATGTGTTCGACCTGCGCGGTCCAGTCTAAAGACTCGTCTATCATTAGGCCCAATGTTTTGTCATTTCAACTCTCTTAATTTCTAAGTTACCTATACTGATAGCAGGATCGGCAGTCACTTGACTAAGCCTTTTCTTGGAACCAATTATCATATATTCGGTTTTACTATTGTTCAGAGTTAATTTGTTTGCGGACAGCCAATTTGCAACATTGTTTAAATCTCTATTTAATGTTTCAGTGATAACTTTGATATCGTCACTTGATGTTGCAATTTGGGTATCATCCGCAAACATATCTGGTTTTGTCCCGGCGTTTAAACATTTTGGTAAATCATTGATGTAAATTAGAAATAACAATGGGCCTAAACCAGAACCCTGAGGTATGCCTGTTTTCATAATTGATGGACTTGATAGTTTGCCATTCACACAACAGCACTGGGTCCTATTTGATAGATACGACTCCAGCCAGCGATGTGCCGTTCCCTTTATTCCATAAGTTGCTATTTTGTCTAAGAGTATATTGTGGTCGACAGTATCGAATGCTTTTTTCAGATCCAGAAATACAATCCCATTTAGTTTCCCAATGTCAATATTTGTATACCACTCGTTGGTTATGTCCAGTAATGCTGTAACAGTTGAGTGAAGTGGTCTAAATCCGTGTTGGGAGTTTGAAAGTAGATTATAGTTATGTAAATAATTATAGATTTGGTTATAAATCAGCTTTTCTGCAATTTTGGCAACTACTGATATAACGGATATTGGTCTGTAGTTTGTCATTTCATCTTTAGCTTCAGACTTAAAGATCGGAGTAATTCTTGCGATGTTCTAATCATTGGGAAATATGCCTGTTAAGATTGACTGGTTGAATATTGATGTTAGGGATGGTGAAATAACTGCTGCCGAAAGTTTTAAGATACGAGAGGAGATACCATCGATTCCCGATGCTTTATTGGGCCCTAAACCATGAAGTAGAGTCAAAACATCATTTTCTGAAATTTCTTGAAAGCTAGGGAGCCCATTAGCTGGATGGTGTACATCACTGAGAAAACTATCCGGTAAAATATTCGATTGAGGAATTTTATTCGCAAGTTTTTCCCCTAGTTCAACAAAGTATTTATTAAAGGCATTAGGGATCAGCGTTTCGTCAATTACTTCACCATTCTCATCTTTCATTTCTGGGATTTTATTATTAGTTGACTTTCTATTCATCAATTCGTTGAGTGTTTTCCATGTTTGTTTTAAATTTCCTGAATTGCTATGTAGTTTGCCTCGATAATAGGAGCACTTTGTATCTTTTATTTGCCTATTGTATTGGTTTTTTGCCTTTCTGTAGACAGACCAGGCATCAGTTGTGTTGGTTGTTCTAGCTTTCCTATGTAGGAAATTAATATGTCGTTTATTGTGAATTAGGTCTGTTGTTAGCCAAGGTAGCCGCTTAGTGCCGACTTTCCGTCTTTTTACTGGGGCATGGTTGTTCCAGATTCTGAAGAATTTATTCTTCCAAATCTGCCAAGATATATTTGGATCGTATTGATCCAGGTCAAAATCGGATAAGTAATTTTGTAGGTCGCGCAAGAATATTTGTTCGTTGAAATGTTTGTAGTCGCGGTATTCGATTATTTTTGCATTTTCTTTGCAGACCTTAAATTTTCTGATGCCATAAATAAGATAGTGATCACTAATGGAAACAGTTGACACTCCCTTTGAAATAATATTATCAGGATTTGTTGTATAAAAGTGATCAATTAATGTCCGAGTATCTTTAGTAACTCTTGTAGGTTCACTTATCAATTGTTCATATTGATACAGTCCTGTAATAAATTTGAGTTCCGAAGCTTGGGGAGATAGACTTGTGGATAAAAAGTCATAATTTACATCTCCTAGGATAATACTTTCTTTATTGTCATTGTCTATTAGTTGTAAACAGTTCTCAAATCTATAAAGGGTGTCAATTGGATCGTTCGGTGGTCGATACCACGTTGTAATTAAGAACGGTTTAACGTTATGTTTACTAATTTGTATTGTAAGAATTTCAATATCATGATTATTCAGGTCAGTTCGAGGTCGAAAATTTATTGAATCTCTAATGAAAAAACCGATACCACCCCCAGATCTATTTCTGTTTTTGGAAATCCAATTGTAACCTTGAATGGCTATTGACTCGATTGGCACACTATCGTCCATTCGTGTTTCATTAATTGCAAGAACATCTATTTCTTTATCATTCATGCAGATCCGAAGTTCGTCAATGTGTTTTGGTAGACTTGTTATGTTCAAAGAAGCTATTTTGAAGCCTCGGATAGCCGGAACTAACCGGTCTTGTTGATTGTCAATATAATTTAAATTTGAATTGTGCTCATAGCGTAGGGTTGACTTTCTAGTTTCGCACATTGTGCTTAATTCAATATTGTTAGTGTTACCACCTATGTTAATTGATTTTATAATTTTGTAAAAATAGTCAATATCGTCAATATCGCTAGGTTTGAGTTCATTTAGTCAATTCTTGAGGGATTCGATCAAGTTCTTTGCTAACATTGCCGTTCCTTGGCTATTCAAATGTAATCCAGATGCATTTAATTTAGAAGCATCTATGTTAGTATGCCGAATAAACTGCCACTTGAATTTACCACAGCGCTTAGCTAGTAACGAATTAGTTTTATCTCTTTTAATGTATATAACCGGGTCCTGTCTCTTAATTATTTCGGAAATAGCTATTTTTGACAAACTTTGGGACACGATACCTTGACATAAGGATTTCATTTCGGCTACAATTTCGTCGCGTTCGTTACGTTGAATGTCATTAGTCCCTACATGTAGAATCACCAGTTTGGGTTGTTTCTTCATTGTGGGTTGTATGTAGTGGTTCATGTCGTTAATAATTGTTGCTCCAGGAAATGTTTTGATGTTGACTTTTTCGCCTATTGATCGACTCAGTTTAGGTGGTTTAATCATCTTTATCATGGAATCCCCTAAGATTGTTATGGGACCTTCGGATGTCTTGGACTTGGAATAGCTATTCTGGGGTGGAGAATCGGTAATAAGAGTTTTGTCAAAAGTTGATTCTTTATTGCCAGGATTCTTGTGGGTCGTGATCGATCTGACATAAGGCGGGCGTTGTCCTTCTGTTGGTTCTACATCGCTGTCACTAAGGACTTCATATCTGTTAACATCCGAGATATCGGCGGCCGTTTTGTGGGCATCCTTGCTAACGTTTGGTTTCTTATTTCGAACAACATGCCAGGTGTCAACTTGATTTTTGGTTCCACTAGGTTTGGATTGATCGAGTTGAACCAGCTTAATTGCCGTAATTAGGCTGTTTTTTTTCGTTCTCCGTGTCTTTAACTTTAGTTTGCAAGTCTGCCATTGCGTACGATATAGTCGCATTCCTTTGGCGTAATTCTAAGTTTTCATTTTTAAGTTCGTCGATTTCCCGTTTGAGGTTGTTGATCAGATCAATTCGTTCTGGTTGACTTGTATTGGCCTTCTTTGATGATTGTTTACTTCTTGCGAAATCCCCTTGACCTTGTCGTCTATTCTTTGCATGAATTTACTCATGAGATCGTTTATCAATAGATATTGTTCTAAATTACTGCATGTTGAGTCACACGTTGGATAGTTTTTGGACGGGCCATTAGTTTTTATTGAATCTTTATGTAAATCACTGCTATATTGCAATTCGTCTTGACTTTGGCTAATCTATTCTACTTCGTTTTCCAAGATGGAGATGAAGTTTGCTTTAATTTCACTGGCTTAATTTCCCTTGAAAGTGAGTGTTCCATTAGTTGAATACCAGCGCACAGAAAACTCTTCGCATTCATACAATTTCGAGCCACCGCCTGGAGTCATCCATTTGGCTTTTGGTAATTGCAATTTCTCGACGAGATATTTTAGGCTTTCAAAGCTACCGAGCCACTTCAGGGTTCCCTTATCTGTAATCTTTAATCCTTCCCCATATGTTGTTTCTTCATCTGTAGTAGACGATGTGAATTCCAGCTTTATAGACGACCAATTACATATTTCATAGCCGCCTAACGTTTTCTCAACGTCGCGTACTTTGTCCGTGAAGAAAAGTCGCTGCTGTTCTGAGGGAATTTCTAGCTCTTGAATTTTATTCTGCACACATTCAACCGTAGTGTTCGACTCAACTTCTAAGGCGCAAAGTGTTACACTTCGACTGTTATTCACATAGATTTTCATTGCCGCTTTAGTAGATTGCTTTGATTTTGAACTTGAGATTTAGCGGAGCACAAAATACACGTCTGCTCTGCTTCGTCTGCTCTGCTTCGCTTCAACGGGATACGTCCCGTCATGCCATTTGTCTTTAAGCGACATTCAGTGGGATGCTGCGGGACACTATCGCTTGTTTTTAAAGTCGTCTAAAATGGATCCTTTTCACCAGGGATGCACGATCTTAATTGGGCCTTCGGGTCACCAGATTTGTCCTGTTGCTGCGCTGTCTCGGTATTTGGCCATCCGCGGTTCGTTCCCTGGTTCTTTGTTTTTGTGCGTCAATGGTGCGCCTCTGTCGCCGTCTCTGGTTAATGCTTGGCTCCGCTTCATTCTCAAGGCTGCAGGTGTTCCTGGGAATTATTCTAGCCACAGTTTTTCGCATTGGTGCAGCTACTTCGACCGCTCTGGCGGGTGTTCCGGACCATGTTATCAAGATTTTGCTACTTGCGCTATATTCGCACACCTCCCCACATCATTCTCCAAACTGCTCGTCACATTGTTTGAGACTTGTTTGGGGTTGGGGAACGCCTTTGGAGTGGGTTCGTGCCTCAAATCCCCTTCTCCAGCTGCGCTGGAGGGTGGCGTTGGAGAGGCTAATTCTCGGCATCATTGATATCAGTCAAGTCAGGATGCTGGGATGGCTGAAAGTCTCTTCTACCGAGAAGACAGCTGCGCAGAACGGAGTTCATCGTAAGCCGGCTTGCCGAGTAAACTAAGCAGCCGGAACCTCTCCAACAGAGCTACACCCTCCAAAAGAATTGCTTGCTTAAGCTCGAGTGCGTTAGATGTTAAATGTGTTTATGCAATAAAAATAGTTAACTTCTAGCACGAGTTGTGTTGTGGGTCGTTATAATATGTAATTTATGCATTTATGCAGGGTTCAATTTCATTGACCAATCAGAAGCAGTCTGTTGTCTGCGGGCGGGAGTTTGCTATTTGCTGTGCTCATGCGATGTGCTCACTTGCATACTGCTTCTCACACTGTGAACTCGCTTTCCCAAAGAAATAGGTTTTTGTTTTCAGGCTGCTTGCCTGTGCTTGCTGGCTGCTTGCCGGTCTACCTCCGGCTGTTTTTTGCCGGTACCATGGGCTGCCTGCCTGACCCCCCCCCCCCCTCTGGCTGTTTGCTCGATCTCGGGCTATTGTCCCCTCCCCGTGCGGCTGCTTGCCGGGTGTTCGGCTGCTTGCCGATGTGTGTATCTGTTCATCAGCATATTGAATTTCGTGATTTATTTGTCTGCTTGTACGTGCGTTTGTCCCCTCACCATTGACTCTTTTGTCTGTCCGTGAAGTGCTTATTCTCTGTTGTGTGTGTCCTTGGCACAGTGTAAATGGTGGGGGTAGTCCTTTTTTGTCATCCTTGCTAGCAATGTCCGTGTTGTGTTCGTTTTGCATTATGCCGCACCCGCTCGTCGGGCTTGCTCTCCGGCTAGTCCGGGTGATTTCTTTTAGATTGGTATCCTGCGTTATCCAGCGTTTTTTTTTGGTTTCCCTTTGGTCGGTAGGTGCATATAGTTCGTTGTGCTCGGCTTTGTATGCTTACCAGGTAAGATATCTCGTACGTTCATGTTACTATTTTATTTATTAATTCCGTTTCCACCTGTGATGTGACGTTAGCTCTAGATCTGTCCTTGGAGAGGCTAATTCTCGGCATAATTGATATTAGTCAAGTCGGGATGCTGGGATGGCTGAAAGTCTCTTCTACCGAGAAGACAGCTGCGCAGAACGGAGTTCATCGTAAGCCGGCTTGGCGAGTAAACTAAGCAGCCGGAACCTCTCCAACAGAGCTACACCCTCCAAAAGAATTGCTTGCTTAAGCTCGAGTGCGTTAGATGTTAATTTTAAGCAATTTAAAACACTTGTTGTCATGTTTTATCAGATCCAGTATAAAATGCTGGGCTGCGCCTCGCGTTTTATATCTGATAAAACACTCCTACTAGTGTTTTAAAATTAAATAGTACTTAATAAGGTATTATCTAGTCAGCGGTTCAAACCATGCTCTCAGAACTTTAAATATATTAAAACATATATCTCTGTAAATACAGTGACAACATTTTTAGATAGTGTACAACTCAATCCATACCAGCATTTTCCACTTCGCTTTCCTCCCCACTGCTTCCGGTTTCTGCATGTATATTGAGGCTGCATATTCTCTTCCTTGGCATTTGTTGTTCTTCTACACTCGACAAGTGTGATGATTCAACATCATTCAGTTCTTTGTTTAGCACCCCCTCTGCTTGTCTCTTGGTGTCTGAAAACAAATTGATAAAAGATTGTACATGTTTTGCTAATCCATAACAGGAGAGACTCCTTGCACAAATCATCTGGCAAATAATAGTCAAAGCAGTATAGCAGACAAGTTCAGCCTACTGTAACCCATTGAGTGGCAGCATTCTCCCCTTGTTCCTTGACCAGTAAAATCGTCTAGCGTTAGACAGAGTGAAATAATAAAGTAGGGCGCATAGCCTCTTTAAAGGGCCAAGTCCTTTGGAAGCCAGGGTCCAGGAGCCTTGAGCCCCCCTAATAACTTCTATTTGTATGAAAAACACACAAAAGAACTAGAGTGCACCCCCCAATATTGATTTTAATACTTCCAACAGCCTTGAGGGTTAGATGCCTTTGGGAGAAGGCCCGGCTTTAAATATGAAAGGCTCTATTATAAAGAGTAAATTTGTCAGGCATACAGCAAAGTCTGTGCCTTTATGGGTTAAACCTAATAACCTACAACACTTACTAGACTTTATATTTATATGCCACTGTGCATTGTAAATGGAACGACCTTTAAAAATATATTAAATAATATTTTCATACCATGCACTGATTGAATGATGCTTCCCCACATCTCTTTCTTGTATAGCATGCTCACTGCTGCTTCTGGCTCTAATAACCCTCCATTCATGACAACAAACTTGCCAGAACCCAACACTTCAAGCTGTTCTTGGTCCAAGGAAATTCCATTCTTCGCGGTCCACGAAATTATGGCAAACATTTCTATAACTTAATACATTTGATGCACTGAATATTATAATTTTTCCTATAAAAGGCCCAGGGCCCCATGCAGACACACCGGACGCGATTCGACAACGCCACGTGATTTTCCAGGGTTTTTTTAAAGTTAATAAAACAGTCAATGAAAGGAGATGTTAAAATATATAAACCAAATATAAACTCAAAATGTTATAACGCTTCTAAATATTTGGAAAATTTAAACCAGGACCAAAGTTCTCGGTCAGTGAAAATCGAAAAATCGCGTCGCGTTGTCAATCGCGTCCGGTCTGTCTGGACCTTAAATTATTTCAACGCGAAATATTACAATCATTAATAACTTGATTTCTAGCTTAAGTAAGGCGGCTTGATAGTCAAAATAGGGCTATTTTGAGAGCACTATTTATCATAGTGCAGGTGCTTTTCTGATAATTGAATTTGAATTAATAGATGCAATGGTCTAATAGCTTCAACTTACAAAACATTTTTTGTCCATATCTACAGTTGCTAAGGAGCCACACCCTTTTCCACACCCAACCCAACGCCAACAGTGATTTCTCCTAAACGAAAAGTGCTAGGGGTCTGAAATTTTCTAAGTGATATATGTAATACAAAAGCTGTGCAATGACCTATTATTTTCCAGATATTCTAATGCTTTCATATATTTTGGCCTTTCTCAAAATTGGTAAGAAAAATTCTCCAACAACATGTTGTCCAAAGGCTCTAAATATTGTTTGGGGTAGTCAAACAGGAAAATAATAGATCATTGCACAGCTAATACTTGTATGAATTCACAGTGAAAATTTCAGGCTTATATGTAAAATACCTCTCAAGATATTGCAATTATTGGGTCTCGGGACATTCAAATTCTCAAAAGTGAGAAAAATCACTCTGAAGTTTGATATATATGTTAAACTTGAACCAAAGTTCATGTTCCCAATTAGAAAGCACCAGCCTCATACTGAGGTTCCTCTTTTGCTTCCTGGGTTTCATTATGCCCCTTTTTCTACGGTGTAGTTTTTCTGCGGCGCTTGTTAGATGCATCAGAGCTCGTTTAGCCCGAGCGCCAAATCCGGTCAATATCAATCTTCTTACAGGCTTTGGTAGAATAGATTCCAGGGTCAACACTAAGATTTTCCAAAACAGATAAAATTTCTCTGGATCCATCATTGAAGTGACCAACTGCAAGACAGGTAGCCAATTCAACAGTAGGAAGACTGGAATGGGAGCATTGTATGCTTCATTTTGGTTATGCGTACCACCATGGAGGCTTCGTCGCCATGTCCCGTCAGCTGAAATACCAATATTATATAGTTCCCATGTCCTCTTCCACTCCATAAAATTGTTTCGTTTCTTGACTTGCATTATTCATGCTTTACAAACTACTTAAGGAAGGATGGCAACAACATGATCTCGGTATGCATTCTCATTCATGGTGGTGGCATGTTCATGGTGCCAGCGGATTTTGAGGGTCTTCTGTGACCGATACCAATGTTTCTTCCACCCAACACAGCTCTGTGATTTACCTCAAAAGCTTTACCATTATGAACAGTTCCTGATGTATAAAAGCTCCTTGAGTAATTACAATTCTGAGCTGAACATTCAAGAATCAACTGCGAAGCAAATATCTTTTTGGATTCCAAATTGTCCTTCATGATCTCATGGTCACAGGCCCACAGCGACAATCAGGACACCAAAAAGTCGCCATTATTTGTGTTAGAATTTCGACATCAATAAAAGGGAAACTTTTGTTACCTTCTAATGATTCACTTTCATCCTCGCTAGAATTTTCTAAATCAAGATTTCTCACAGAAGTAGGCATGTGTATCTTTGGCTCAACAAAACTCTCGCTTGACATCTCGGTAACTTCTGTCGATCAGCCAATGTAACCGTAGCTTGTTGAGCCGTTATGTATAAACATTTCCAGTAGATTTCTTTTTCTTCCTTCTTATACTTCTAAATTTTTTATATAATACATTCATTCGTTTTATATAATACATTCTTGACTCACATGCGAATTGTAAAAAACAAAGTTATACTATTATTTTTTGTAACTGCTCCTTCAGCTGTTTTAAACCAGTTAACAGGCCTTTATCGACTCTTCCATTTAAGGGGGCTTGCTAACGTTTTTAGGAGACATCAGATGAAAAAATATAGCATGTTTAGCGGAAAAACATGCAAAAACAAATATGGTTACCATGGCAACGACATCCTAAATTGACAAACTAGTATACTAAATGGCTTATTTTGAAGAAAATAAGCAATGTATCCAAATAAAACGTTTTTGAAGCAAAAGTACAAGGGTCCCACATGCAAAATTTTATATTTTCAAAAAAAAATTTTTTTCAGAAATTTTGACTATCGAGCCACCTTTTAATGAGATGAAACAAATAGCAATGTGGATCAAGTTTATATCTGAAACAAGCTAGTTAAATCAACTGGCGTAGTAGAATGGAAAAAGTTCGATTTTTGATGATTTGGCGAGACTGTAGCAAACAGGATTAAAAGCGCGTCTGTATCTTTTGATTTGATTCCGCGCATATAGACCAAAAAACAAAACGCACAAAGTGAACAGTTTAAAATAAAAATGAGCAAATTCTTACCTGAACTTGAAGTATTGCTGGCTGCAAATAACTCTGAGGAAACGTTGAACGTTGAAGTAATAAATATTGAAAAGCACGAAGCCGAAGGAAGTCAGGAAGACACGCGCTTTGAAAAATATGATTTTAAGATATTTTTGTGGCGTGTATATACACATGTTATTATATCACAAGTCGCTGAGCGGTAATTGTTCAATGCCGAGTCACGAGCCCGCTCATTGGTTAATAAATCCGAAACCTTGCATCTCATTATATTACCATCCCTCACTTTCCCTCGCTATCCCTCACTTAATGTCCAAAAAGATTGCAGGCTCTTACAAATACTTGAAATTTTTACTGAAAAATATCTGAAACTCGACTGAATTCATTTCTTACTTCATTTCTTGATGTAAAAAATTATAAGTAATAATGTCGTGCCCAAATTGGCAAAAGCAATGGTTGTTTGATGGTAGTTTAAAGGATCCGAAAACAACAAAGTGGCGACGGAGTTGCCCAGATGCTGTGCCAGATCATGTTGGGCATGCTGACAACAACAAATTATATGTCGATGACAGGGTCTGCGATAGCAATAAAGATGCCATCCATGGGCATTTGTGTCGAGATTTTCCATCTGAAATTTGTCTGGACAGCAATACGTCGCCTCTGAAACGACAAAAGTTCGATCACGTCTGCTGATATTTCGCCCTGTTCTGTTCGATTTGGCTGAGGACATAATGGATATTGCTGACAACAACACGTGATTTATTTCATCTTGTGGTAGGTTGTAGTTGTGTTTTTATTAAATTTATGTGGGTAACATCCTTGCAAAAAATAATTTTAACCCCCCAACATCCCCACCACCACCACCCAAAATCCAAATTGACCAAAATTTACTCAAATGTACTCCAGGCTATCATTTAGTGCTTGGAATATAAATGGCCTGAAACATAACACTATCGGTAACAAGCTTACCAATGGTGATTTTATACAAAATATAAAAGATCATGACTTAATCTTCTTGACTGAAACATGGTCCAAAGAGACAAGCAGCATTCCTGGTTTCAAGGCAGTATCTACCATTACGGCAACTCCCAGATCCAATCGTAGTTGCCGTTTGTCTGGTGGAATTTCAGTCTTGTTTAAAAAAGAATTGGAAACCTTTCTCTCAATTGAAAAACAAACAAAAAATTTCTTGTGGTGTCGAATAGATCATACAATTTTAAACCAAACAAAAGATCTATTTGTTTGTGGAGTCTACATTCCGCCAGAAATGTCTCCATACTTTGTTGATGAAATATTTGAAGAACTGGAAAATGACATTTTGAATTTCTCCAAAAAAGGAAACATAATGCTGTTAGGGGACTTTAATGCCCGTACCAGCAATCTGAAAGATTTTGTATCAAAAGAAGGCAACACCTTCATAAATGACATCTCTGAAACATCTTTTGAACCAAAAATCAGAGAAAGTTTTGATAACTCTACTAACCAGCATGGTAAAAGTCTTATTGAAATTTGCAAAAATTGCAACATGAGAATTCTGAATGGAAGAACTCTTGGTGACTCGTTTGGTAAACCCACTTCCCATCACAAAAATGGAACTAGTGTAGTTGACTATATAATCTGTGACCAAGAGCTTACACAAACCATCGAAAACTTTATTGTCAAACCACCAACCTACTTATCTGACCACAGTCAAATTGTGACGTGGATCAGAACAAAGCAACATATTAACTCAACTAGCAACATAACTCCGACTCCCATATCTACTACTCATAAACTCCCTTATCAATTGACCATTTGCGTAATAGACTAAATTTTGATCTAAACAAGTCTAGACAAAAATTTCATAACAGCTTGAAAGAGCATCACAAAATTAGTAATATTCCAAAGTTTCGTTGCGAAATGTTGTAAAACGCGGAAAATATAGCCATGCGAAATTTGCAATTTTCAGTCATTTTAGATTACAAACGGGAAATTGACAGCCTCGAAGGGTTCGAGGCTGTCAATTTCCCGTTTGTAATCTAAAATTACTGAAAATCACAAATTTCGCAAGGCTATATTTTCCGCATTTTACAACATTTCGCAACGAAACTTCGGAATATTACTAATTTTGTGATGCTCTTTCAAGCTATGATGAAATTTTTGTCAATATCAAAATTTAGTCTATTACGCAAATGGTCAATTTACATGGGAAAATGATTCGCCAATCTCATTCACTGAAGCTTTAAAATCAGTCGAAATCCAACAAAAACTGGAAAGTTTAATCAACTATGACACTCCCCTCACAAAGGAAGGAGTTAACACATTCGCTTCCAGAATGGAAGATATTATTTTGCATGCCGGAAAGAGTTCCCTCCAAATAAAAAAGACCAAATTCAGAAACAAAATATCTAATGTCTGCAATAAGAAATGGTTTGATAAAGAATGCCGTTTAAAAAGACATTCAGTTAGGAAACTTGCCAACCAAAAACACCGTGATCCCCTGAATAACGATATAAGAAACGAATACCATTTTGCCCTCAAAATTTACAAAAACACGTTAAAACGTAAAAAGAACTTTTTCATGATAAAAGACTAGAAGAACTAGAAAGAGTGTCTGAAAATGACCCAAACTCCTTCTGGAAAGTACTTAAGAACATGAGTGATGAACTCGAAGACTTTTCCTTTAATAAGCCGGATGTTACAGCCAGCAGTTGGCTAAATCATTTTGAATCTCTGCACACAAAGCACTTAATAGGCCCTGAACAGATTAATATCTTACAAACGCTTAAAACTCTTGAAATGGAACCCACAAATAATTTACTCGATGAACCTATTTCAGAATACGAAATTATCAACGCTGCGAGGAAATTAAAAAACAACAAATCCGCGTACTCTGATAAAATAAGAAACGAAATGCTCAAATACAGTACAAACATACTGTTACAAGGATACAAAAAACTTTTTAACCTCATACTAGAAACTGGTAGCTTCCCAGATCAATGGTGTGAAGGTCTCATTACGCCAATCTTTAAGTCTGCTGATAAAACTAACCCCAACAACTACAGAAGAATTTGTGTGACAAGCTTTTTGAGCAAATTCTTCTGTATTATCCTTAATGACCGCCTAAGCAATTTTAGTTACCAACAAAGCTTAATACATCCATCGCAAATTGGATTTCAGTCTGGTCACCGAACTGCAGACCATATTTTTACTTTGAAAACACTAATTGACAAACAAGTAGAACAAAACAAAGGTAAAATTTATGCATGTTTCGTGGATTTTAAAAAAGCCTTTGACTCTATTTTGCACGAAGGTCTTTTTTTTAAATTACTTGAAAATAAAATTGATGGTCAGTTTTACAGTCTTATAAAGAGTATTTATTCTAACTCGAAATGTGCAATCAAACAAAACAACATCAGAACCGATTTTTTCACTTATTCTAAAGGTGTACGTCAACGATGTATACTAAGCCCCCTTCTTTTCAATATTTATATAAATGAAATAACGACCTTATTTAAAAACAACAATTCGGACCCATTTATACTGCCTAACGGAACAGAACTGAGCTGTCTTCTTTACGCAGATGATCTAATTATACTATCTAAATCAAAATTCGGCCTCCAGAAGTGTCTGGATAAACTCCATAGCTGGAGTAAGAAGTGGCTAATGGAGGTAAACCTAAAGAAAACCCAAATTATGATTTTTGAAAAAAGGAAAACAAAAAAAGCGAAGCCAATTTTCACACTAGGAAATGAAAAGATATCTGTTGTACAGGAATACTGTTACCTAGGCATAAAGCTTAATCACAATGGTAATTTTTCCTTGGCTATCAAACAGCTGAGTGAAAAAGCCCTGCATGCGCTCTATAGCATCAGAAGACGGCTCAACCTACACCAACTTAACCCCAAATCTGCTATTAAAATTTTCGACAGCAAAATTTGACCCATTCTTCTGTACAATGCAGAAGTTTGGGGTGTATATATCAAAAACGATTTTATCAATTGGGATAAACTGCCGGTTGAAAAAGTACACTTAAAATTCTGTAAGCTCTACTTGGGCGTTGGGAGAAAGACGAGTAATATCGCCTCAAGAAGCGAACTTGGAAAATATCCATTAATTATCAATGTATTCAAAAGAATCTTCAAGTACGTCACTCATCTTAATTCACTTCCTGAAACAACCATTTCAAAACAAGCTTTCCTCATATCAAAAGATTTATTTATTGAAAAGAGCAATTCTTTCTATTGAAAAGCAATGGATATAGTGAAAACCTTGAATTGTAATAGAGCAATCCCTGACCTAGATTCACTTACAACCAATCTAGTTGAATCATGCGTTAAAGATACTAAAGAAAACTACCAGAGATTCTGGAGACATAAACTTGAAAACTCATCCAAACTTACCTTCTACACAAGCATAAAGGAAGACTATGAGCTTGAAACTTATTTGACTACCATAACTTATTCAAACCAAAGAAAACGTTTAACACAGCTCCGACTAAGTAACCATAAACCAATGATTGAACTCGGTAGATACGAAAACATTCCGCGAGAAGACCGAATATGCAAGGTCTGCCAGGCAGGAGAAATTGAAACGGAACATCACTTCCTAACATCCTGTGAAGCCTATAGTAGTCTCCGAGAAAACTTTTTAAATAACTTGGAAAGTGATCCCACCAATGAAACAGATTTAAACGAACACAGTTTATCAGTTGAGATAATGAAATCAACTGATAAAGAAACCGTGATAAAATTATCAAAATTTATCTCTTTATGTTTTGAGAAGAGATCTAAATGCCTTGAAGCTCGGAATGCTGACAGTCAATAGGCTATCGAACTAACTCCCAAACTTATTCAATTACATATACTGTATACTGTAAATAGAATATTCATTTGTTAACTATGCCTTTCTTTATATCAATAACTTCATTTTTATTTCTTGTATTACTCACAGTGTCATATTACCACAGAACATTTTGCATTTGTAACTATTTATAATTAACTAATAAGCTTTAGCAATACTTGTATGTGAAGTCAGCGCTAGCTAATAAAGCCATTTGTTACTGTTTACCCCGAATAATATTGAAAAGGCAATACATCGTGTAATGTTAAAGCATTGAGGTATACCTTATCTCAAAATCAACTTTACCGCATGCAGGCGTGCCAGTGTCAAATCACCATTGATATTTTATTTTTTGATATCGATATAATTCAATATTTTTCAATTTTGCAACACCCTATTGGGTCGCTCCAGAAAAAATCCACACTCCCCCCACAGAGGAAATTTCTGCCATCCGAAGGGGAGGGAAGAAAAAAATGTTTCTAATAATAACAAATGTATTAGGACATCCGAAGGTGGTAGAGGGGTTAACGTCCATTTCCTCCGTGGGGGAGGTATGGATGTTTTCTGGAATGACCCATTTCAACTAAGTGCGCACATAATTTTTGCCATGATTGTAAAATTAATGTTTATACATTTTGTAGCATTTGTAAATTCTGAATGCTGATTAGCTAAGAGCTGCGTTGATATAATTCGATGTCAACATGGAAAATTTCTTTCTATATACTGTATTTCTTTGTGCTATATTATAAAAAATATAAAACATTTTTCCGTATTTTGATCCCCGAGCCAACGGAGCGCCGTTCCGGGCGTTAGCCCGGGACAAGGGTACTACATCCGACCGGCTATTTACACCCGGAGAAATTAAAACATTAGCAAATTCTAAAGTTCATCAATGATCGTGGGCGTGTGACTATGGTTCATGGGTGGACCTTCTCACTGATTTCAAAAATATAGCTGCTTGCTATGAGTGGCTTCAATTTTCAAAAGCATATATTTGGAAAATCATGTTTCACACAATGAGCTTTGAAGCAATTTTTGTTTGAAGAAATGAGAAGAATTGATTTACTATGGGAATCGTGAAATATAGTGCAAGTTTACTTTGAATGCTTAAAGGGCCCTACAGTCATTTTGTAGTCGAGAAGCCATTGTTTACATTTTTGTTATTGTCGCTACTTGACATGTGCACCACGGCATGCATGCATCTTCTGGGGTGCGGAAGTACTCATACACATGGATACTGCATGTAAGATACAGCCAAACAAATCTCTGTGGAGTCCCCTACTTAAGGTGGCTTTTCGACTAAAAAATGTCTGTAGGGCCCCTTTAATGTTTATGAATTTTGTTGCTTTTAATAATTTCTTGCGTATGAAAAGTACATGCAGCTTTCCTTTTCAGTCAAGCTGTAAGTTTCCTAAATTACCCTGTTTATTTTAAGAAAAAAAGGTAAAATGTAAAGGAGAGCAAATTAATTTGAAGACCTTTCTGAAATTACTTCACAATTTGAACTTATTAAGTATTAAAAACAGTTCATCGGCAAAGATGACAAAAGCAGTTTAGTTATTAAAATGAACATTTCAAAACATTTTACGAAGCCATTTTCAATGTTTGGAAAATATAGGCAAAGGGTTGCTGCATGCATGTATTTCTAGTAATAGTTATATCAACACTTGTGCAAATTACTGCCCTCTGTTTAATAGAGGGCCGCTTAATGAAGGTTTGACTGTAGATGCCCATGGATTGCCAGTGTCAGTTTATTCTACTACAAGTACAAGCCTAATTAATTGTGAATCTCCAAAATATATTTTAATTGTTACTATCTAAAACCTTTCTGTTTACTGCAGGCACAAAGGTGGTAACAGAACATGAAGAGGTTATCAATTATCAACAAGTTCTTGGTCTTGAAACATGGGATAACGTATGTTTTGACTATGAGAATCATGAACCTTACAATACTGAAGAGCAACAACCAACTCAGTCATTATTAAATTAGTTGGGTTCTCTAATTGGAGACATTCCAGATATGGAACATTTTAAAGTGAGTGATATTCCTAACGAAGAGACAATACCTGAATAAGATGAGCCGTTATTTGTTGGTTCACCTGTGAGCGTTAGTGAAAGCGCATTGCTCATTATGGCTTTTGCGGTTCGTCACAAGCTGTCTGGTGTTGCTTTGCAAGATTTGCTCTCACTCGTTGCCCTGCATTGTCCAAAACCGAACAAGTGCATTGCTGAAATGAATCACTTCCATCACTTTTTCCAAGCACTAAAGCATCCCATTGTAAAGCATTATTACTGCCCAAATGTCAAATGTAAAGTATATGTGGGAAATTCAAAGCCAAAGAGTGAAGATCTGTGCAAACTTTGTCACACAAAGCTTGAGGAGGCAACCTATTTTATTGAGATACCTATCTTGGAACAACTAAGAACCATTCTATCAAGTAAGTAGTCAAATATACAACTATTAGTTTAGATAACTTTTTGACAAAGGGCCTTCCCTCGAGACGTCAAAGAAATTGCTTTCTTATTTTTCAGGTAGTTGAATGAACAACCTTCCCTTAATTCGCAATAGTATATATGTCTCCTACTTAATACGGTCGTCAAACTCTTATAGTGACAGGCATCTCTCTTGAGCAGACACCTCTTTTAGGCTGATACACCTGCACAATCCTAAAATAAACTGGGAGAACTTGAATGTAGTGCATTGAAATACTCACCACCAGGGGCTGCAGAACCATGGGGGCAACAGTGGCAGGTGCCCCCCCCCCCCACACACACACACCTTTTGAAAATATTTTCTGTTCCAATTAGATTATCTTGATTGTAAAAAGCTAACTTTATGTCTGTTAACATGTAGGGCCTAAAATGATTGAGAAACTACAACATCGGTTCTCCAGGAAAAAAGTTTGTAATGATGCAATTGAAGATGTCTACGATGGGAAGCTATACAAAGAATTCTTTCGTCCTGGTGCTTTCTTATCACACCCACATAATATATCCTTTCTGGGAAACACTGATGGGGTTGCCTTGATCCGGTCAACAAATTGTGGTGTATGGCCAGTCTACTTGGTAATTAATGAACTTTCTCCTTGGGAAAGGTATGTGTATTCAATCGGTTGAAGTCTAGCATAAATGATTGTAGACAAAGTAAGCTGTATTTACTGCATAATTAATTATATAATGGTACTTTATAATGGATTGTGGCATGTAAAACAGTGAATGCTTTAGCAACAGCTATTAGAAAGCAAGTCTATAGATTCTTTCAACATTACCAAACTAAAACTTTTGAACCTAATGTTTACAACTACATATTCAGTGCACAATATTTTAAGTTGACTGATTCACGACTCACAAGAGATATACAGTAAGAGTGTAATATACAACCGCCAACTTTAATACAATCGACCCTAATGTCTATCAGGAAATGTGGATAATCTTGATCTTGGTGTAGATAATTCTTGGATTCAATAATTATCTTGCACATACAATTATGATAAACACAGCTGACTATATTGTAATTTAATTAAAGAGTTTTATATGGAATCTATACCAAGAAAATTCTGTAGACAATTTTCAATGTTGGACATGTTGTGTAGGTCAGTAGGTGGTGAATTGAAAATTGTCTGCAGGTTCATAGCCCGATCATTTTTTTGGACAACATTACAGGCTGTAATTTCAGTTAGTATATAACAATTGACTGATTGTGCCTGAAACGAAATGGTACTGAATATCCCATATACAATCGCCCAATTCTAAATGTCTGTTAGTCACTAATGTTTTGTGGGAATTAGGGAATACTGCATTTTTATTGTTTTAAGTGTGTTAGTGTATGTTTATAATACCATGCAACAATAACTGTATAACCCTTTCACCTAGGCCTAAAAAAAATGATGAATAAAAAAAACTTCCATGACACCTTTCGTAGTTCCTCATAAGAATCCGTTGAAATATTAAATATTTTTGTCATACTATAGTGCCTGCCACTGGTTATAAATTGTTTACAATCTACAAGGTGATACAGTGACCTAGCTGTGATGCAATTTTGAGTACGGTACCCAGAGGCAATGTTTGAGATCCAGTACTGTAAATATTATCTTTTCACAAACAGGCTTTTCAGATAATCTCTTATTTTAGATTCCGAAGAAGCAACAGAATTTTTGCTGGATTGTGGTTTGGCAAAGGGAAACCACATTTCCCAACATTTCTCAAGCCATTCTCTCTGGCCATTCGTGATCTTGGTACTAAAGGTAAACAGCTTAATCTAATTTTGCATTCCAAGTGGCACTTGTTATCCTGCTATCCTAATATTGAAATCGAAAAAAATCATGTTGACAGAGACAACAAGTGATTTGAACTCATCCAACAAACAGAAATGTACTGACAGTACTATAACAGTAGCATTAAACGCACAAGATAAAAAAAACTATAGTATTCTTACCACTATCTGCCTGACTGAATTGACTGCGACTGTTGACTGATCAACGAGAACAACCTTTAACATATAATAGAAATTCTGATTCTTATCCCATATTGTGCTTTTGACAGGAGTGCATGTTGCTGAGTCAGTTTGCGTAAAAGCTATGTTCTTAGATATGACTGTCGACGCCCCCGCAAGAGCAATGTGGCAAGCCATCAAACAGTTCAATGGTTATTGTGGTTGTGGGAAGTGCAAAGAACCTGGCCAACAACTAGATTTAGGGCCAGGGCGAAACGGTAGCCGCAGAAGGTACCATGTGTATCCGTTTAACAAATCTTTTGCAGCCACGTCTGGTCATGCTGGTGTTAGAATCCATGACGAGATGAAACAACAGTCTCTGGAAGCTTTGAGAAAAAGAAGCGAAGGGAAAAAAGATGTGAGTTCTTGTTAGTTGCTTTCACCCCATTGACCAACTTCAATCTGTTCTTAGGAAATTCTTCTTATTAGTAGTATGCGTCTGCATGATACAAGTATTGACTGTTAATTATTAAACCACAGGAGTGTTTTGGTGCATTTCCTCGGCGTGTTGTAGCTGTAATTGTATTATGTACAATTAGGTCTAGTTTATAATAGTTACAACATAGATGCTTTAATTGTTTTCAGATCTATATGTATGTTTGGCTACACTGTATTATATGTGAGAGTATACAATGTCATGTTGTTAATTTACCTGTATTACATGAATTTAATTGTATTGCTATAGTTTTCAGTTCAGGCTGTCATTGGTCTTTCTTGGGGATTTGGGATTCCTTCATATGATGTCGTCAGAGGAATAGCAGTCGATTATATGCACTGTATATGCGAAGGAGTGGTTGATCAATTGATTTCTCAATGGCTTAAGAAGTCCAATACAAAAGCAGACTTTTATCTGGGATCCAAGATTGAAGATATAAGCAAGGAACTGTTATCAATCACACGAACATGTGAGATTACATGGACACCCAGAAGCCTAGAAGATATCAAAGACTGGAAAGGTAACGATGATTCCTATTATTTTATTCGCTGCATGTATGAGTGAGCAGTTTCAGACAACCGTTGACGTTCATACTAACTATGTAATAAATTTGCACATACAGACTTGATTTTCTTGAACGAAAAACGTTGTGTTATTTCAAAGAGCACATAAGAAGTAATTATTGTATCCAGGCAATAATATATACAGTATATGTATATAATTTGTTGTTTTTGAATAATTAATTGTAGCTTCAGAAAAACGTGCATTCTTGCTATTTTATGCTGTGCCACTGCTGAGGAATCGTTTGCCTCCTGACCACCTCGTCTTCCTAATGTATTTGTGTGGAGGGTTATTCCGATTGCTGAAGAAGTCAATTTCTCGTGAAGATTTACAAGAGGCGCATACCTACTTGAAGTTGTTTGTCGCACAGGCACCTGTTCTTTATGGTATGTAAAAATAAGTGTTCTCACTGGTTTGGAACATGAATATTTACGAACATACAATTTTGTCGTGTGCGCGCTCGCTTACTCCAAAGTCTCTCAACAGAACGCCTGCAACGCAGGCTTATTATTTTTATGTAGTCGGTTTTCTTTAATGAACTGTGGTATATGCAGTATCTACAGTACAATACATATCTTAGTATATGAATACCAATAATATAAAACATTAAATTAAATCTCAAATATTTTTGTTTTAGAATTACAAAAATGCCAAAAAAACATTGTTAGAATACCTCTTCAATAACGAATATGCCTTTTCCGGGTTTGAGTTTTCATAAAAGTGAAAACAATGTGAATGAATCCTCATAATTCCCTTTAGGAAAATTTGCAAGTGAGGCAAACATGGCGAAAAAATACATTTTACTGTATATATTTATCATTTCTTTTTCAGGGAAGCAATTTCAGACATTCAACGTGCACCAGCTTCTACATTTGTCCGAGGTTGTTGAAGATCTCGGTCCTTTGTGGTCGAAATCGTGTTTTCCTTTTGAAGACTATAATGGTGATCTGCGAGATTTGTTTCATGGCACACAAAATGTGGATGGCCAGGTCAGTATATCTACAGTATGCATGTTACAGCGTGCTGTACAGTGGCATTCAGTCCAAAAGTCGAAGAAACCAGCGTGACCAGGGTCTCTCCCTGGGTACGAGGTTGATTGGAGACTCGTGATTTGTCAGCTGCATGCATAAGCGTATGATAAAGTGCATTATAGTGTGCAATCACTGTGTTTAGTCAACTATTAGTCATTAAATTTTCTCGATTTATTATTTTTTATAGATCGTAACAGCTGTGTCGATCATCCAAAAGTTACCTGAAATTGCAAGATCACCTACTACTTCTCCCAGCGTTACGGCATTTTACGAGCATTTGACAAGAAAGGGTCACCGAACATGGTGAGATTGTTACTCAATCTAAAATCTTTCGTACTATGTATACCTTGTGCCACAATTAGTACATGTTCAAACAGCTAAAGCACTATGAATAAGAAACCCTTTCTCGAATTTAAAAGATTTTATGGAGCCTGCAGCTACACTTAATAATATTTATTTGCTTTTAATTTTTTATTTTTAGTTCCAAGAAAGAAACAATATCTGAGTCTTTATATGTGGTTGGCTCACTTGAAAGAGTATGGAGTAATTCAAAACTGCTTAGTAAAGAACAGTTGAATTCTCTCCCAAATAATTCTGGGAAAATATGTTTATTTCGACGGTTCCTGATTGGTGGAACGTTGTTTCACAGTGCAAGCTATAGAAGAGTTGTTGCGAGAAATGACTACACTGTTGAGTTTGAAATGAATGGCGTAAAGAACTTTGGCGCAATTCAAGTTTATGTAAAGGTTGAAGACAAGTGTTTTCGTCTCAGATGCAGAGATGGGCAAAAGTGTTTCTGTGAGCTTGCATGTAGCTACTTTGCTCTTATCGAAACACTGGTCGAAGACGACCAACAGCTTCCAATGTTCCATAACAATGTAGTAGTGAATCACATCAGGAAGGTCAATCCATCCAACAGGTACACTTCGTACAATAGAGTCAGACTGCACCGATCATTCCTGGAACGTCTCTTATGATTGGTTACTATCCCTACACCTAACCCTATGCCTACCCCTACCCTAACCCTAGTTTTAAACGTACATGGAATTATGGCCAATCAAAAACCGGTACACCCATTACATGGAATAAAAAATTAGCTAATCATAAGAGACGTTCCGATCGCTGCTGTACACTGAACAATAATAATACTATAAATCTATAATGTAGCCTACTTACGAAAAGTACTTTCAATGACTTAAGCTTTACTGTGTATTCGACTCTCGTTATATTCAACTACCCTGTATGGGGCCATTATTAGTGACCACCATCGCAATGTAGAGTGTACGTGAAGTACTGTATAAATTACGTGTAGATAATAAATCAATTCTAAGAGGAGTGTATTTTCCTTGATAGGATTACAGCAGTTCCAGTGTCGAGAATATTGACGACGTTTCTGAGCGTACAATTTTCATCAGGATCCTATATCTGCTCACTTCCAAATACTTACGAAAAAGATTGAAAGGGAACTGTTCGTATGTATGCTTAACTTTTACTGTGGCATTGTGATACAGTATAGGGACATGATCGAATTATATACCCGACCCTATTTTAATCCTATTTTGAACAAAGTTGCGATCTATAATTCTGTGAATAGGAATTGAATAGCTATTTGAACAAAGTTCGTCACAACTTTCTATGAATAGGAAATAAATAGCTATTTAAGATCTAATTAGTTTGCTATATTTATTAGCTATTTTAACAGTGGCTCCAAAAATAAAAGGAAACATAGTTTAAAAATAGCTATTTAATCACAGGAGGCCCAGGCTCGATTTGCCCGCGCCCGCCTGTGCCTTCCTTATAACGAGGGAAGGAAGGAAACATTGAGACCAAATTAGCCCAGACTGGCATATGTCACACGAAACTATCCTCGATTTTTCGCCTTTAATGCATTTCTTTCACGATTAATCGATATCCCCTGCAAGAATGATACCGTATAACTCTCAAAACAACGATGCTTTAATCATAGAGCTTAAATTCGCTCTGAAATCCGTGAGGGAATAACATAATTCGCCCAAAATATATCCAATATATAACTCAAAATACACTCAACCCTGATTGGACAACGAAAATCAACAAACATTTCAAATTTCTGTAGTCAGTAATGTAATATAAATTTGAATCAAAACAATTAACAAATGTTGTCGGGGGGAAAACCAGTGCAAATCTAAATATTTAAATTTAAGAAGTTTAGTCAGTATAATAACGTTTGTGAATTGTTTTGATTCAAATAATCAAATTATTACAGTACTGTTCCAAGTACTATCCCCCTTCCCAGTGCCAGTGGAGAAAAATTTGAAATGTTTGTTGATTTTCGTTGTCCAATCAGGGTTGAGTGTATTTTGAGTTGTTCAACGACTTCCGCTTTTTGTCCTGCAAACCCGGCACGCGGATATATTTTGGGCGAATTTTGTTATTCCCTCACGGATTTCAGAGCGAATTTAAGCTCTTTGATTAAAGCATCGTTGTTTTGAGAGTTATACTGTATCATTCTTGCAGGGGATATCGATTAATCGTGAAAGAAATGCATTAAAGGCGAAAAATCGAGGATAGTTTCGTGTGACATATGCCAGTCTGGGTTATTTTGGTCTCAATGTTTCCTTTCTTCCCTCGTTATAAGGAAGGCACAGGCGTGCGCGGGCAAATCGAGCCTGGGCCTCTTGTGCTAAAATCGCACTAAATCGCGGGCTAAAATTGTCGAATTTCTCCTAAATCGCCTAAAATCGCCAACATGCATTCTGCTTGATACATTCAGTCCATGTACTCAAGTTTATCAATTGCTGCTATTTTACGGGCAAATCATGTAATCCAGGTGCTTTGCAATGAAAGTAATGCAACATGAATTAGCAATCAAATAAGTGGATTAGGCTGACAATATTTGGTCACTCAATAGGCACCGGTCATTGACAAAAACAAAGCCTATTCTGCTTTATGCAGACTTTACAATAATTAGGTAATTCTGGGATCTGAAAGACCCATAGATCCGATACACTGCAAGCAACAAAATTGAGCTAGTTACCAGAATGAGCTAATTTCATTATTGGTGTAAATGGAGGCTGGGCTACAATTTATATGGACTATGGAGGCTGGGCAACAAATTAATCTATAATCTAGCTACATTGCTGTTAAGCCTGGTTCACATGTCTGCGATATGCCTGCGACGTCATTGTTTACAGCTGTTGATGCATTCTTTTGTGAATTATTTGGTTGAACTGCTAAGAAGAGTGTTGATTTATATAACAAAGTCATCGTGTAATTTGTGCACTGTTGCATGTAAGATCGAGCACTGCATTGTATACAATGGTTGTACTTCGACATGTGCATGGTTATACTCTAGCTCCTAGTTAATTATAGTGGCTATCAAACGAAAAATATACGTGAGGTTTATGAGCGATTTGCAACTCTCGTCTCTTAAATTTTCCAGACCTGTATATACAATAAACAGTAAAACAATGATTACATCTTACATACCATACAATAGATCTTTTGGTGTTGTTTGTTTGCAGAACCTAAACTGACCACGATGTAGTGCGCCATTTGTTTAACAATTAACACTGTACTATTTTGGTTTTAATTTTAAAATAATTTAGAATTCCTACCATTTATATACGATATACTTCATCTAATTTAAACATTACGGCATTACTCCGACAGTTTCCGAATGCGTGACGACACTGTTTCTGGATATGGCCACAGAATAGGAAGTTATACCAGAAGCGTAACTCGAGCAAATATTTGTCCGCGTTTTTACAAGCGATTCGTCATCAATCACGCCATCCTGGCTAGTACAACCGGCACTTTGTACCTACCAAATCCTGATAAAAACTTCCGGCTGTACTAGCCAGAATGGCGTGGCCTGACGTGAGCGAGTTAAATTTTCGTGGACGTCAAACAATATTAAAAAACGGCTAGAGTTACGCTTCTGGTATAACTTCCTATTCTGTGATATGGCACTGGGATATCATATGATGTACATATCAAAAAAATTATAAATATGTTTGTAGCATGAAGAAAGCACGAGATTGAAACAGTTTAAATAAAATGCAAGCTAAATAAAGAAGTTTTGACATGATACAAAACAAGACAATTTCACTTACAAGGGTGACAAGGTAAATTATGGGATTATAGCCTATTCAGTTATACTGTATAAATACATTGTGTGTTTCTACTCCCTACCCCTTGTGATTTTTTTGGAAATCAAATATTTATTATATTTTGCAATTTTAACTCGATATGTGTAGTGCATGCCCCTTAAGTAGAATATATTAACTGTTCACAATATTTGTGGTGTATATAAATGTAGCTATGCAGGGTGTTAGCCAGAAAAAAAAATGCTGTCCGTTAAACGCAAATTGGGAAAGTTTTAACTGAACTTAGCTGAATATTTTCCCCAAAATTCTTGGCGAGCGGGGGGCGGGGGGTGTCCCCAAAAAAAATTTCCAGGAGATATCAAAGAAATATTCCGTAATTTCCGCCAAATCCGAAAATTTTTTCACAGAATATTGAAATATTTAGGTTTTGTTCAATTTCGCATTGATTTTTGCCCAACCGTTAAAATTTTGGGGGACACGTGCTAATTTTCCAGTAGACCCAGTTGGGAAAGCCCTCAATTGGGAAGAGTCCGTCAAACGGACAGCATATGGGCTAGCTAACACCCTGCTATGACCCCCAAGATGAACCCCAATGGCTTCTAAATAGAGAATGGGTGAAAAGTTCATGAATATTGAGCTTTATATGTGAATCAGGTTAAATACAATAGTTAACCTAGCTTTATATAAAATGTACATACATGTTCTAATAATTGTATTTTGCTTCATACAATGCATATGTGTGTGGAAACATTACATTATTATTCAGCTCACTCCCCACATTGGGGCTTTTCAGTGATCGATTACATCAAGTACTATGATTACTTATGTTAGCCTAGACTATTTATCTTTACAACAATGAAGATATGATATTACTTTCCTAACTGTGTTTATCCTAACCCACCCTGCCAATTTTGCCCTGTGGGAGGAAACCGGAGCAAAATATAGAATTCAATTCCTTTGAAAACACCTAAATTGCAATCCCTAAAATTTAGAATTTTTTCTTAAATCGCCTAAAATCGCACTAAATCGCAGTGCTTGAAAGTCCCAGTTTTTCCTTAAATCGCCTAAAATCGCATTATATCGCAGCGATTTAAGGCGATTTACCGCCCCAGAGTAGGCCTCAATATGCAGCGTTGGCGCTAGTCGCCTTGCGGTAAACTAGGCGATTTTTCAGGCGGGAAATATTTTCGACTTACCATCACTTAAAATATTCGTGCTTTTATAATACTGCAGCAAAACGGTCAAAAATGTACAATTATCACATTTATGACATATCGGACAATTATCTGAACCTGTTGTTATAAATGTCCTTGCCTATAATTTCTTCATGACAAATTTAGCATTTGTCTGAACAGTGGTACTGCCTCACTGCCTGAAAACCGAGCAACGTATACTGTATAGATGATCAATCCCGAAAAGGGAAATATTTTCAATACACAAAAGATATCAATCAATTAATACATATACAGTATCGTAGTACTGCAACCGCAACACTGAAGTGATGCTAAAATCTGCAACGTAATTTTGGTCTGCATACCAAACCCAAACAACACTGATAAAATGTGTCCTACTTCTTTGACTTTCCTCAGCTTTTCCCGCCAACACAATCACCACAATTAACAGAGATGTAATAATTGCCTTCATGATTTTGGGCTTCAGTTCAGTTTCGCTTTGGGCTTGATTTCAACTTGTCGAAGGAGTAGTAAATTATCCTCAATCAGTGGTATGCTTCTGCTTTTGTTATTACGAAACATTATCACTCATACATAGAATTTTAGGTAAAAATGAAATAACAGAAGATGTTTGCTTGAGAGCAGGTGAAATGTTCGTGCAAGTAAATATTATCTTACGAATAATGAGAAGACATAATGGGTACTTTGTCACAAATCAAAGTAACGTAAATATTTCGGTTCTTCGGAAAACATTCATTATTTCTTCCATTAGGCTGTGACAGTTTGTTAAACTAGCTGCAGTTGTGTATGTGAAGATGTCATGTTGTGATTGACCTGTTTCCTATAGTTTATCTTGTGGGCAGATTTGTTTAAAGAGAACAGCTGCCTGAGGTATCATGAACATTGACCTTTCACGTGGACAGGCTCTAGGCGTAAAGATGAGTCATCCCAAGCTGGATAACACTCGGTCATGCAATTAAAATACTACGTCATCAAAATCTTAGTTCGATAAAATTGTAAGTAAATTTAGTTTAGCAAGTAAAATAAGGTTCACATAGGTATAGTTTGAAGATTTTACTATGTGATGTTGATAAATATTTTAAGTTGTGAACATATTTTAACATTGATCGATTGAACAGCGAATCGACTCGACAGGTGCGACAACGCCTTAAATAAACAGAATGTGAGAGCTGGAACGCGAGCTAGCAACGTCAACCCACACTTTTAAAACTCAACGTTGATTGGTTGGATACAGATCACACGACTTGCTAGATCACATGTACAAAGATTCCCTCAACCGTTAGTATAAAAGGGCGTGCACAACCCAAATTCGTCAGTGAAGTGAGTGAACGTAAAGTTAGTAAAGCTCAATTGATGAAAAGCTACTGAAGCTCAAACAAAACAAGACAAACCGTAAACAACGAAGAAAGGGTGAAGTAAGAATTAGAGAACTTTGAAGCAGAACTGTTCAATATTAACACTTAGTGCATGACAATACTTAGAATAGTTGTAACGATTCACTACCTAAATAAAGCCTCGTAACACTTTTATAGTGTTGGTATGCAGTGTTGGATAATAATACCCTTGAACATCCGCTGTCATTATCGTTTCAGCACCTAGCCATGCAGGAAAGGGTTGTGTACTCGGAAACATTCAGACATCTTTGTACATTTACAAACAGGGGCGTTCCATACCGTTGCATGGAATCGATGCAAATCAGGACTAGTTGTAATCGAGAAACCATAAAGAATTGTTGGTCGACTATCGATACCGTGCTAGTCTTAGGGAAAAAAATCGAACATCTTTTTAAGGATACAACTCACTTAATAAACCTATCTGATGTATACACATTTAAAGCAAACTCAAGTGTAAACAGTTATTAATTCTCAGTCAGTTAAATTATAGAAATAGGTCAAGTACGTGCATGATGTTCGACCTCAAATACTTGCAAATTCGCACTTGTGTTGTTTTGCCGCATAAAAGTAACCTGAGAAAGAAGTTGTGCAAAATCCCCAAACATTCCCTATTAAATTTCTGTTTTCAGAAAGCTACCGTTTTTAACTAGCCTGCAAGTTTTGGGCGCCGGCTCTTCCCGTGTTTATGGGACTTAAGAAGTGTTAACATTTAATCTAAGTTTACCTTAAAAAGCCTAATAAAAGTCCATTTTCACTTCATTTGCAAATTATGCTGGAACGATTTGAACATCTCTCCCTCAAACATCCCACTATTGTGGCTATACACGTTAGTATAACGTTACTATTTTCTTTAAATAGAGAGGTTAAGATAACCCGGTTTCGGTGTACGTGTACGGGTAGCATGATTTTGGTCAGCAATATTTTCGTCGATGTCTGTACCTTTACTCGTAATTCCGGTGCACATTGATTTTTCGCATTTTATCATTGTCTATTGCAAGAAAACAGAAAAAGTATGATCGAATTACAGACATCAGTAAAACAAGATGACCGTACCCGTACACCGAAACCAGGGTATCTTAACCTCTCTGTTAACTTTGGAGGTTTCAGTTTATTAAATACTTCGGCTAATTAATATTTTCAATCGGCCACGGTTTAGAATGATGTACTAACCCTAATCTAATCCTAATCTAATATTAATCTGACCCTAATCTAACCCTTACCCTGATCTGAACTTGACGACCTTACCCGCGCGACCAGCCTCCCTCTTAAGGCCTTTTAAGGCCATTACTGTGTATTAATATCCAAAAGTCTTCTCTAATGCTTCTGCATGGTTTTGTGTAATTACGGCTATCCTAAGGCTGTCTTAAAATTAAGGCTGTCTTAAAATTAATTTGGAGATTTTCCGCACAATTAAGACACAGCTCTAATTTTGGGAAGAGATCATGTTGACTTGCTACATGTACTAAGTCTGTGTCTGATGCAAACATGTCGAGAAAAGGGTTCTTTGGGCCAATAAAGGCGCAGGTGAAAATAGTTCTTCGAATGTTTTCCTGCAGGGGTTTTTCCCGTGTTTCTATATAGCCTATATGACAATCCTTATATAATAACAGTATACAATTCATACAAAAGTCCATTGTATAAAAAAATCATCATATGGAATCATATCCAAAAACAAATGGCGTATATAATATTTTAAAATCACGATAAAAGTGTGGAGTAATTGCCGGGGAAATCTAAAAGAAGAGAATCGTATGATTGTTGATATTCCATAACGAGGGCGGTATGAATGTGAACACGTTGTCTAGTAGCTATTTGTTTATCTTCGACTAGATTTCCTAGATGACGTGTTAACTTCATATTCACAACGGAGTTTACTGCATGTATATCTGACAATTTTTTTAGAAATTACATGTGAACAAGACTCTTATTTTCAGAAGATAGAACATGTTGTTTCAGTGCATGCATAAGTTATAATTATATAGTTAATTAATATCACGATTTACATTGTTGAAACGGATGTCTCCAGAAAACAAATAACTTTTGCACATGACAATACAGGCATTGACCTCGAAAGATAAAATAACTAAGTTTGGCACTTTAATATCTTTCAGTGCGTTCCCGTCATTCCGTTATTCCAACTAAGATATAATTATACGGTTCATATACATCATTTTAATCGTGGGAATTTATTTAATTTAAAACCATGCATGGTACTATCACTACATATTTCATTTTGTAATAATTTTGAAAACTTGAATGTTATGTATTATATCACTGTTATCATTGTTGTTGTTCACTAGCATTTGCCTTTGTCGTAGTTTTCGTAAGCTGTGTTGAATGATGCTCTGCTGAAACATCTTGCTGCTGTCTGATCACAATAACAAAGTTCGGCACCACAACCACTGTTGCTTAATGCTGAAATTTTATAGAATCATTGCTGATTTTATATATTCAAAAGGAAGTGCTAAATCATTAAATCAGTTGGAACTACCTGGACATGCAAAAAACGTCAGAAGTGAATGTCTCTAAACTTACAACAGCCATTACAACCACTACGTTTGTAATTCGTCCACCACCAGGCACCACCACCACATGTACCACTATTCACTAGTGATTTATAGCACATGTCATGTTCATAACAGCATCTGTGATATGATAAACAATAGGAAAAGGTTAAAAGACAACAATAATAGCCTGAATGACATAAAAAGATCAAACAACAGTCGCAGATTAACTATATTACGCAATTTTGTTGCATCTCTGTCCTGTTACCAAGCAACTGCGCTCTTTGTTTGCACCCGTGTTGTATCTTGTTACACTATACCAGGTGGCTATCAGTAACCAGAGCCCATGGTTATTTACCAATCGCTTTAGCATTGTCTTGGGTTCAATTCGTGATTCAAGATGGCGTCTAGCAAACAAACACTTAATTGCTATTGTAACCTTATTTACGGGCACAGTTTGCTCTCTCTTTCAAATGACGCATGCATTAATTTTGTTTTTGGTAAATGTATGCAAGAAAAGAAGAAGGCATAGAAGGGCGGGGGCGGAAGATGTTTACATTAGGGCCGTAACGTTTCGCGAAAGAAGCGAAAACCAATCCCATACAATGTAAACATAGTCTATATATAAGATCGTAGCGAATAATAACTTACAAATACAGTATAATTAAACCAGTTCCCAATGAAAAAAAAAACACAATAACTACACTTTTGATGCTTTTAAATCTTATACAATCAGATTAACGATTTATTTTAGCTTTTGATATCATATGAAGCAAAATATACCGGCCGAAAATACAAAATAACAACATTTCACGTGCAGACATTTTTCTTAGCAATTTGTATTCATTAAAAGCGACACTAGGCTCAGTGACACCATAGTTAATAGAATAGATGGTTTGGAAACTCATTAGAATAACAATTTAAATCATTATCTACGTTAGTCAACGTTTATTCATATATCTGGTACTTCACCGTCACGTGCGTATTGTATTTTTGCCAAACTATCCAATAGTAATGTTTTAGGAAAGTTACCTATCCGTGACTCGAACAATAGGGGCAATTGGAAATTGCTGTTGGTAGTTTTGGCAAAAATACAATACACACGTGACGGTGAAGGATCATATTTATGAATAATCGTTGACTAACATAGATAATGAGTTATATTGTTATTCTAATGAGTTTCCAAACCATCTATTCTATTAACTATGGTGACACGCAAGCTTACTTTGAATTCGTATAGTGAGCATATGCATGTTTTCAATTGTGTGCACAGTTGATGGAAATTTTGAAACTTATTCTACTTTAAATCTTATGTAAGGTACACACTTACGGACAAAGTTGGAAGAGAAAAATAAACAAACACTATGGGGCCTACCAAAAAGATGTGGAAGGCGTCCGCTAGTAATAGGAGCCCTTAAAACAATCCCCAAAAGACTGGATAACAATCTTCAGTGTATCGTGCATCATTCTCGTACCCAGAGCCCTTCTTACGCGCGGTGCGACGAGGGGTTCTGGCCAAATCCAAAACCGGATACCATAAAAACATGGTAAAAGAATATATCCTTCGAACAATAATATTACCTTCGTTGTAGCCAATCAGATGCCAGTTTGATATGGATTTGACCAGAGCCCCTCGTCGCGCTGGCTCTGGGTACGAGAATGAATGGTGCATGTACATACACCTCAATAGAACTCGTACAAAAATTTGCATTCTACTCGGAACAGCTCGGATTTTGAGAATGGATCGATTTGGAAACTTGAAAGATGTGTTGAAGAATGAACAGTGAAAATTATCCTAGACAACTTGTCATTGACCTGGACAATATCAATTGAAACCGGAGCATTCTCGTACCCAGAGCCCTTCTTACGCGCGTTCGACCGAGCGCGACGAGGGCTCTGGGTACGAGAATGAAACCGGAGTGGAAAAATAGCAATATTAATGGGAAAGCAAATGCAAACACCAGTCTCATATTTTACACGACAGATGCTCCAACTATCACCCCCTACCGATCTGTCGCATCCACGATTTTCCCACTTCCTCCTCTTCCACACCAGCAGCCATAGCGGTTGTAGCTCAGCGGAGATCTATGGGTTGTGCACTTGATCATTCTGCTAAACTCATAAATAGCTATCCACCTCTTTTCTACAAAATTTTCGAATAAAAAAAGGAAGGATGTTTTGTAACATGTACACTGAATACAGTATATAGCTAGGTTGCTCAGTTTTTCAGCAGTAAACAGTTACGTTCTATTTTGTGATTTAATTACTAGCATGCATGTTTATCAGATGAAAACTTTTACTGTTTTACAGATGACGACCTAGATTACACATACTCTGCCATTATTTTTTACTTATAATTAATCTTCTCATGCAATATGCGACGTCAACTAGTCGCCATGTCGTTAGCCTGCGTAGCAGACGGTTTTTAGGGGAGGTTGCGGGCGGGGAAAATTAGGGCGGGTAAAGTTAGGCGGGAGGACGAGAAAAACCGTCTGTCGGGTTTCAATATGATTTCGTTTGCCAGTTCACTGGTGGACTGAGAATACGTGATTGGCTAAAAACCCAACGGCTGTTAATAAGTTATTATTAAATAAATTATTATATCAACTTAATTAGACAAACATGGCGTCTGCTTTGGAGCACAGTGTCGAGTTTGACTTTCATATTGAGAATGTGCTTAGTATCTTGATATTCTCAAGGATGATGGCTCACAATTATACAAGTCTATGGAAGCAATAGTTGTGGATGAGTCTCATACAATTGAGACATGGACTGGAAAACGGTAAGACCGGTTTTCTGAAACAGCTTCTTCTAAAAGTATAGTTATGTAGTCTGACATTGACGCCAATCTGGTACTGTATTTCTAAGTATTCATATCGCATATCGGTACATTGGGACGTTTTTCGTCTTTTTTGTGTAGAGATATAAAAGGCAAATCATCGAAGTCGAATGACAAGAAAGCTTTCAAAGAAGCTTATGGAAAGCTTGCAATTCTTAGGTCAATGTGCAATAAAGGCAAGTAATTTATATTTATATTTTGTTTCTAACATGGCCAGAAATGACGCACATTGTGCAAGCGTACCAGTCGGTCAGCAGCTTTTCCGTTTATCCACAAGAATTCCTAATTATCCTTTTACGACCTATCAAAGTATCCGGAATTTCAAATATTCGCGTGGGTGTTGTTTATAAAGCAAAGCATGAAGTATGCACTTAAATTGTGGCTTTTAGTTTACCAGGCTCAGGATGTAGCTAAGCAATGACTACGGGAACGAAAAGAATCACGACGAGTATTATCTTATCTTAGTATTATTATTATATTATTATTATTATCACGACTATATTTAGCTAAATTTTTAAGTTGAAAAATATCTGATAGTGAAATATGATAAATATGGAAATACGATTTTAAAAAGTGACAAATTTTTTTCTAGAAAAGTATCTAATTTTTTTATGCTGCCTTTGGAGTATTTTGCCGTGAAATCGCAGGAAATGGCCATTCCAGACTTCTAAAATTAAAAATTTTCCGGGGGAGCATGCCCCCGAACCCCCCTAGAATGTGTAACTTTTAGAGCAGGACCTGTCGAACTTCACTAGCTACGCCACTGTGTGTGTGTCTGACTATGAATCTTTGCTTGAATATTAATGTCAATGTTATCACCGACTAGTCTACACAAAAAAATCAAAAACGAAAAGACAGTTAACTCTTAATGGGAAAAATTCTATTATAATGACATTTTCAAAACGCATAGGCTTGCTTTTTGACTCATAGGCATTAGGTCCATATTGTTTTTGCTTCTCCCGTATCAGTGGCGTAGCTAGTGAAGTTCGACAGGTCCTGCTCTAAAAGTTACACATTCTAGGGGGGTTCGGGGGCATGCTCCCCCGGAAAATTTTTAATTTTAGAAGTCTGGAATGGCCATTTCCTGCGATTTCACGGCAAAATACTCCAAAGGCAGCATAAAAAAATTAGATACTTTTCTAGAAAAAAATTTGTCACTTTTTAAAATCGTATTTCCATATTTATCATATTTCACTATCAGATATTTTTCAACTTAAAAATTTAGCTAAATATAGTCAAGTCGGTGTAAGAGGAAAATATCATGTTTTCAATACACGTCTGTAATATGATCTTTCACTTGGTCAACGTGCAATTGCGTAACTGAACAATTGTTGCAGCGCCTGTTGAATATACAACACTACAATGACTACATATACGGCTAGCATTCGTTAAAAAATTACTACGTTTGTTAGTAATGTTTAATAAACGGAGTGGTATCAACTACGGACCACTACGCTTGGTACTCTGATTGTATAATTCAGTACGCTATGCCTATGACTATGGTATTTAAATATAATAAAATTGCCGTAGCGTTTAAAGTAAATATAGTATATTAAAATGCGGCCAAATATCTACATAAATAACATAAACTTTGTAAATCTAAATGGTTGCTATATCATTTTTAAACTCCATATAAGCGCTCGTGTTTCATGCCTCGTTTCATGCAATAGCAGCAATGCATAAAGCAGATGAACTGGCAAATATAAATACGTTCATACTTTATATCAAAATACGACACAAAATACACGATCGAGTCTGTTGACATGCATTTCGTGAGCTAAAATATCTTAGCAGAAGCCAGAAATTATATCCAAATCACAATGGGCTTTCACGCTGGTTGATTTCCATATTCATCACTTGAGTAATCTTGACATAGTAAAAAGTGGGTTTAATCACGCGGAAAGCTCGCAAGTAAAGACAATACAAGGCCAAGTCCTGCCATTTCGAGAGAGCAGGACTTCGCATTTGTAAACAGCCGGTTTGAGCATGCGCAGATCTAATTATCCAATCAGAAAGCAAGATTTCTTGTATGAATTTACTATGAAATATACTAGCAAGTCCTGCCATTTGAAAATGGCAGGACTGAAACACGAGCTCGTGTAAATCAATATATTGCCCGGAAATGAGCTTTTATAGAGTTGCAGTTGCTAGGTAACAGACACGGCAAGCTGTAAAATTGCGTAAATGTAATAGAATACGGGAAACTTTTAAAAAATAATAACGAAAAAGACGAGAAAATTATACAAAATAACAGTATGATAATAATATATTTTTAAAGCTTCAAGGTAAATAAAGTAATGTTTTACTAAGGAAATTTGGGGAAATTTTTAGTCCTGCTGGGCAGGACAAGCAGGACCGCTAGCTACGCCACTGTCCCGTATAGAGTCCAGAGATGAACAACCATAAAATTGATAAAACATTTCGAAATGTGTTGAGAATTGTGCCCTTTTTTAGAAATCGTATGCTATGTTTACAAATAACATAAATAAACATTGATGGGTCCTTTGTATGCTTGCATTATAAAACAATGCTTCAGAGTACGATTTAAAAATAGAAATATAACGCTTTGCAATAACTAATTTATATACATGTCACAAAAACAAATACTATAAAAGGAACATTTTTCGCTCGCGTATAATTGATAGAGTACACAATTAGTGTACATGTATATTATATTTCATTTGTTTTCTAAACACGAGTCGAAATAAAAGTGACAATTACTTACTTGTACAATGGAAGGTTTTCGCATGACAAAAAGTTTATTGCTTCTACCAAATGGTCATCGTTGATAGTGCAGCCCGTGCAGTCTCGCAACATCCCGCGTGCATGGATCACGCAATCCTGCACGGAAAACCATTCGGTATTCCTTTAATACTCGGATACTGTTTCCTCAGAAAAACATACTGTAGATTCAACTTCCATATCATCCTCGTTTGGCACACTGACTTGTTTTTCCTTTGTTTTTTCCAGAAGTAGCATGGCTTTTCGGTTGTTTTCGATCTCTTTCTTCCAAACAAGAACCTTTCTTTCGCAGCTTTCGCCCATTTTCCTTTCCATCTCGATAATCATTTCAGGAGACATGCAAACAGAAAGTTTATTCAAACGCCGAATGTCATTGTATTTAGTACCGCTATGAATTAGAAGAGAAGAAATGGGATATGCCACTGCTGACATATTTTGATTTCGACATCGGGCTGCCACGGCGGAGGCCAAAGTAATCGCGTTGATTTCCTTTAGTTTCATTTCAGAATAGCATTGCATGCGCCCGACACACAAGCCATCCAAAGTGGACACGATTGTAGCACCTTATTAACTAAGGGTGGTCGTTTTTTGGTGAACAAGCTGTTCGATGTTCATTGCCGCTAGAAAATTATCGGCAGCGCGATCATCTTTTTCATTATTTTCGTCGGCATCACCTTCGGTTGTTTTTTATTCCGAATCCCTAATATTGTCCTTTGAAAACAATGATTTTTTGGCGCTTGTCTTTCTTTCGATTGAAGGTTTCGGTTGTTTTTTTGCTTGCGGACTGCGTTCAGGGCTATCTACTGTTGTCGGTAATAGGCGTTTCTCTCTGCCAGGGTTTTCATCGTCAAAATTAGGCACGTTGCCCAAAGAAATTATCCACGCAAAAAGGCCGTTTGCATTGCGTATTTTCCGATCACAAGACTTGCAAACCCGTTCAGATAACTCTGCTTTCCTTTCAACGGATATATTTAACTCCGTCAGCAGTTCACACAAAGTCTTCTCACTACAATCTTGCCTAAATGGTGGCTTGAAAAGCTGTTCGGGAGATACGTATGAGGTTTTCTCAAAATTTCCGAATTTCAATTTCAAAGGAAATTTACACAACCTGCAAAAATCATTCACAGACAAAGGTTTGTGCCTTCTTCCTTTGTTAACGGTCTTCTTTGGAGTATCTCGCTCACTCATACTCGCAACATCTCATTTTTTAAACCTGCGGCACTTGTTTACAGTTTACGTAGCTGTCTGACGTCACTAGTGAAATATTTGCAACTTTTGCAACATGTCAATTTCATAGTGTAATGTAAATATTGCAAAAGTTGAACTCTGATTGGCTGTTGGAATAAACTTTTAATATGGGCGTGAAAAGGGCGGCAAACGAAATCATATAGAAACCCGCCCTAATTTTCCCCGCCCCAAACTCCCCTAAAAACCGTCTGCTACGCAGGCTACCATGTCGTAAACTAGGTGATTTTTCAGGCGGGAAATATTTTCGTCTTACCATCACTTAAAATATTCGTGCTTTGAAATACTGCAGCAAAACGGTCAAAACTGAATCTACAATTATAACATTTATGACATATCGGGGCTCGGGCAATTATCTGAACCTATTGTTATAAATTTCCTTGCTTTTCTTCATGGGAAATTTAGCATTTGTCTGAACATTGGTATTGCCTGAAAATCGAACAGCGAATAGGCCTATACTGTATATAGATGGTCAATCCGGAAAAAAGAAATATTTTCAATACACAAAAGATATCAATCAGTACTGCAACCACAATACTGAAGTGATGCTAAAATCTGCAATATTACGTGGTCTGCATACCCAACCCAAACAACACTGATAAAATGTTTCCTACCTCTTCGACTTTGTTCAGCTTTTCCCGCCAACAAAATCACCAGAATTAACAGTGATGTAATAATTGCCTTCATGATTTTGGGCTTCAGTTCAGTTTCGCTTCGGTCTTGGATTCAACTTGTCGAAGGAGTAGCAATATATGTATCCTCAAAAAGTGGTATGCTTCTGCTTTTATAGTGTTGGCAGTACGTGTTGGATAATATCCTTGAACATCCGATTTCATTATCGTTTCAGACAGTCGGCTTTACAATTTCAGATTCGCAGTTTCAGATTCACATTCAGATTCAGATTCAACTATATGAAAATAGATCTATATCTGCCATATAAAATGTCGAATTACCCAGTTCTCTCTACGCAATAAACTTGTTAGTGAATTTCATTCTTCTTCAAAACATTAAGCATTCAGCAAATGTATTTTCAAGGCTTTAGCGCAAAATGTGAAGTCAGGAATTTATCTTTTGCGATTTTTCGGAAAAATCGCAAAAGATAAACGTCGATCAAGACGTAAATTCATACTGCGCCATATTGTCGCAAGTGATCGGCAATATTATATTTCGCTGTGTATAGCAAAACACACGTTGTAGCTCCCTAATCTCTAAAATCCATTCATTACTACATTATAGTAAATGGTATTAAGCAAACTAGATCTTAAAACCGTTTGTCGTTTTTGTCAGGAAAAATCGCAAAACGTAGATGACGCGAACCGGCTTCTGTAACCCGAACCGAGCGATAATAACACAGCTGAAAGAACTGAAATACTTCTCACGCATCACACGTTTGCATTGAAATATTTTCCAGCAAATGAATTCTTCTACAACTATCATGAAATGATATAACGCACTTGTTAGCTTCAAACAACTTTTGGTTTCGGCAAGAAAAATCGCAAAAGACAACTCGTGCTTGACTCAAAAATATTGATGGGCATTGGAACTCTCCTTCAAGTCCGCTAAATCTGATATAAGTGCATTTCTTTCTTAATTGTGGATCTATGCCAGCATATTTAAAAATTTATAATGTTTTGACGTATTTTTTTCTCGGAGAAAGAGTCAGAAATCGCTTTATGTGTAGAATGATAGAATCAGACTGACCCCCCGGATTTTATTGTTCCAATTCACTTAATCAACCCATCTGATATATATACATTTAAAGCAAACTCAAGTGTAAACAGTTATTAATTCTCAGTTTAAATTATAGAAATAGGTCAAGTACGCGATGTTCGATCTCAAATACTTGCAAATTCGTGCGCAAAATGTGTTATTTTGCGACGTAAAAGTAACCTGAGAAAGAAGTTGTGCAAAATCCCCAAACATTTCCTGTCAGTAAATTTCTGTTTTTACAAAGCTACAGTTTTGCGCGCCTATACTAATTTTGACCGGCTCTTCCCGTATTTTGGGGGCTTATGGAATAAGAAGTCCATTTTCACTCCATTTGCAAGTTATGCTGGAACGATTTGACTGACCATTGTGGCTACACGTTAGTATAACTAGGAGACTAACAACAACGCCTGGCCTTGCTTGGTAATCAATTCATGGTTAATTGCCTCACATAATTCATTTTGGCAGCAATATTATATTTAAAAAATAACATAATAATAATAATAATTGATGATCATGACTTTCATTTTCAGAAGATAGAACATTTTGTTTCAGTGCATGCATATATAAGTTATAATTATATATAGTTAAAGTGCATGACATGAAATTTCTTATTATCTTAAATGAAAGGACTCTTTAAGTTGTAGTGTAACTTATTTTTCAGTTTCTTGTTTTTATGGTTAGTTCCGGAGATATTTCAATTTGTTTGATATGTAAATGAGTGTGAATATGTCCACTAATTTATGACGTCATGTTGGTTGCAAGCTTAACTTGCACTGGTTATAAATGTATTAACTCTAAAACCTGTTGATATCAGTTTACATTTTTCTCCAGTGTTTCATCACATTTACCAGTGAGTGAAGTTTGAAATTATCATCTTGGATAAAAGCAGTGATATTCAACCATTTTGAAGAGCTTGCAACCAACATGACGTCATAAATTAGCGAACATATTTGCACTCATTTACATATCAAACAAATTGAACTATCTCGTGAACAAACAATAAAACTGAAACTGAAAAATAAGTTACACTACAACTTAAAGAGTTCTTTCATTTAAGAAAATAGGAAATTTCATGTCATATGCACTTTAATATCACAATTTATATTGTTGAAACGGATATGTCTCCAGAAAACAAATAACTTTTGCATATCCCAATACAGGCATTGACCTCGAAAGATGAGGTGACTTTGGTACTTATCTTTCACTACGTTCCTCATTCCGTCATTCCAACTAAGATATATAATTATACCGTTCATATGTTATTTTAATTGTCTTTAGGTTCATTATCCTCCGTTTGACACAATATATATAAAAACGACTATGAGTGCCGACGAGCCACCAAGCCACATAACCTTAATTCTGACAATATGGCAGACGCTCCATAGCTAACCATATATGAGCTACAAGGTCTCAGATGGTGAGACAAAGTTACATGGTATATTTTAATTAGTCGAAACTTCAAAATGGCAAAATATTTAGTTGACAGAAGGTCGAACCCAATATTGAAATCGAGACTTAATTATTTTGCCATATTGGGCGAAGTTGAATCCAGTACTGCAGTATAGGTGTTTTACTATATCGAACAAAACAATTCTATATTACTATAACAATTTTTTTTAATTATTAAGCGATAATTAATAATGGTAGAAAAAACAGCAAAATATTCCAAATAGCCTTTTCATTACTTTGCCACATTACTTTTCGTATCCGGCACGTACAGTTGAATGTCTATATAATAAGTAACAGATAAAGCATGAGCATGCAGCCGTGTTGTATCAGATATACAAACGTCGAGACGAAGGCGAGACGTTGTATGTCTGATACAACACGGGCGCGAATGCTTTAAATATATAATAGCTTGTGAAACGTCTCAATGAGAACAATCGTACTCTTTCAACAATTTAAAATAAATGAATGATATTTGGTGAGAAAATTAAACTTAAAGTTTATGTAAATCAGCATGATTTCTGTATCAGATATAGAAATTCCTTCACGCTCATAATTTCTTTTTTGTGTTTTCGTCATGAATTATTAATGATTTCACGATAGCTGTTAATTTAATATACCGCCCCTTCGATGAAGGTTATTTATAGACTAGGACCTGTATATGAGTTTGTATGCATTTCATTTAGGACAGATAATCTCAACTGTTTTAGGGCAAGTTGACCATGACGGTCAACATGGTAATGCTGCCCGAACCCCAATCCGGGGCGAAACGTCCGAAACTGACCACACCCAAAAACGACGCTTTCGCCATACTGCTATCTACCAAACCATAAAAGCTTTGACTATTCTGAGGTGCTTATATGGTTCAGAGATGGTACTTTTGGGGGTGGTCATTGGTAATAGTGAAATGCCTAGCACCAATATTTCACAAGAAAATGCATGACTATGCAATAATCATAGTTAAACGTCAATTTGTGGCTTGCAACTTCAGATAAACAGCAGTGGACTTACATTACCTTTTTCCCTAAATCTTCTTGATAGAAACATAATTAGTACTTATTTAAATATATTATCACTGGTTTGGTGTAAAATAGTTAATATTTTCTGACCGAAATAATAATTTGAAATGTGCCTACCTCCTGCAAATGGATTTTGGCCAAGTTCTCCACTTTACTCCGCTGTTTATCGGCGATCTCGTCGACATCCTACAAAAAATGTAAATCATCTCAGACTTAATGGTATCAAGTTTCAACTTGGTTTCAAGTAGATGATTTAACTGTGTAACCATTGACAAGGTAAATCCGCCATTTTGTCATCCCGCCATGTCGCTTGTTGACAATTCAGCCTTGTTACTCTTCCATCCAAGCCATTTCCATTCCACTAATAATAAATTTAACCCTTTATAACAGGAGGAAACTAAAAAATCTAAACAAAATATAAGAAATACGCCATTTTATCACCCTATAAAATTTTGCTCACGAGTCTTTCAAAACATTCCGTACAAATATCGCGTGACAAAGTAACAGGGACGTGACAGGAGGGGGTGAATTATTTCACGAAGATAGAAGAAGGCTGCGTGAAATAGACTAAAAGCTAAATACAATCATACAAATGTTTGTTTTATTTCTTGTAGCGACAAATATATACATATTATTATTTATTAATATGAAAAAGTCATACAAATTAAATGTTGATTGTTGGTTTTACCATACTGTGTGGGCTTTCCTTTCATTTTTCAAGTCTCTTCCCCCCCTGTCACGTCCCTGTTGCTAAACCACGCGAGATTTGTACGAAATGTTTTGAAGGACTCGTAAACAACATTTTACAGGGTGATAAAATGGCGCATTTCTTATATTTTGTTTAGATTTTTTAGTTTCCTCCTGTTATAAAGGGTTAAATTTATTATTAGTGGAATGGAAATGGCTTGGATGGAAGAGTAACAAGGCTGAATTGTTAACAAGCGACATGGGATGACAAAATGGCGCCGAATTTGGACAAAGTTGTGGATTTACCTTGTCGATGGTTAAACAGGTATGATCTACTTGAAACCAAGTTGAAACTTGTTTAAAATGTTCTTGATACCATTATGTCTGAGATGATTTACATTTTTTGTAGGATGTCGACGAAATCGCCGATAAACAGCGGAGTAAAGTGGAGAACTTGGCCAAATACGTCCATTTGCAGGAGGTAGGCACATTTCAAATTATTATTTCGGTCAGAAAATATTAGCTATTTTACACCAAACCAGTGATAATATATTTAAATAAGTACCATTTATGTTTCTATCAAAAAGATTTAGGGAAAAAGGTAATGTAAGTCCACTGCTGTTTATCTGAATTTGCAAGCCACAAATTGACGTTTAACTATGATTATTGCATGGCCATTTTCTTGTGAAATATTAGTGCTAGGCATTTCACACTTACCAATGACCACCCCCAAAAGTACCATCTCTGAACCATATAAGCACCTCAGAATAGCCAAAGCTTTTATGGTTAGGTAGATAGCAGTATGGCGAAAGCGTCGTTTTTTGGGTGTGGTCAGTTTCGGACGTTTCGCCCCGGATTGGGGTTCGGGCAGCGTTACCATGTTGACCGTCATGGTCAACTTGCCCTAAAACAGTTGAGATTATCTGTCCTAAATGAAATGCATACAAACTCATATACAGGTCCTAGACTATTAGGATAATTCCCGAGGGCCTATTCAATGCCACCCATCGAGCGAAATTTGAAGATCAACCAAGAGCTGGGACCTCGACTCGGCTGCCTTTGGGAGTCAGGTATGACGTCACAGGCAAAAACGAAATTAGGTTAATGTTTGCCGAAACTGAACTAATACTACCTTCCGTGACATCAAGCGGGGCGATCCATATATTGTACTCATGAGTTCTAATGAGGTAAATAGTAATTATAATGCAACCCGAAAAAATAAAAATAATTTCGGCAAAGACTTTTGTTTGTTTTGTAAACTGTTATTTTAGTGTTACTTAGGAATTAAAACTGCTGCATGTAGGAATAAACTTCGCTCTCTAATTGAGGCACCCCTTACTAATAAATGCATTAATTAATTTCGTAACGTTTGAAAATTTAATAAAACACAATTAATAAGATAATTTGCGGTAGACTAACACTTTTTCCTAATTCAAAAGTTTGAATAGCTCACATGCATATCTATTAGTTTTGTTCCATTTTATGCAAGTATATGATAGTGCAAAGGTAACTATTGCAAAACATCAAACAGAAATGAATAATTATAAATTGAGTATTCTGTCAAATATATACTATCAGTTCCAGAAACTCCGGCTGATATATGACCAGCCATTTACACTCTACATGTTTCAAGTCACAGCAAAAATCCAGGAGATCTCGCGACGTCGAAATGAATGAGACTAGTCGTCGTCGAATAGAAATTCATTTCCAAACTAATACTCAGTGCACGCGGTGCCTTTATATTTTTTATTTTTTCTCAAATTTTTCATGCAGGCCTAGGACCCAGTGTGCTGTCCACCATTAAACCGAGTTACAAAGTTATAAACGATACAGACATAAGATGAAGAAATACCATGAACTAGATCCCGGCTATACAACGGTTGCCGGTTCTAAACCGTTTCTCACTTATCAGCTAAAGTTCGGCTTCATTCTTGTCTGTTTTTCCGTCACTATTCACAAGTAAAGCGTCTCCTTGACCTTTATTCATATCATCCATGGTCTCCAAGGTTGGTGTACCCTTGGTCTCTGGTAAGAATAATGCAAGTACAGCTGCTTGAAGACATATTGCTCCCATTATGCTGTATGGGAGTGCTGCATGAATGCGAATCTAGAAAATAATTTAAAAATCGTATTAAGAGCAACAGACCGCGAACGAAACGTTTTTGGGATCACTTTAAGGCCACTTGGTTTCCAAGCGCTGAACTATAAATATATATATATATATATATATATATATATATATATATATATATATATATATATATATATATAAATATATATATATATATATATAAATATAAATATATAAATATATATATATATATATATATATATATATATAGAAAGACACAAAAACTTAGCAAGCTTTGTTTGGCATATTTATTACTATATATAAATAAATATGCCAAACAAAGCTTGCTAAGTTTTTGTGTCTTTCTATTATGCTCTGGTTATCCATTGAGCACTCTATCATTGGTTTTTATAACACTACACAAACTATTTTATAACCCTATACAAACTATTTTATATGATAGTAATAAACATGTCAAACAAAGCTTGCTAAGTTTTTGTGTCTTTCTATTATGCTCTGGTTATCCATTGAGCACTCTATCATTGGTTTTTATAACCCTACACAAACTATTTTATATATATATATATTATATATATATATATATATATATATATATATATATATATATATATATATATATATATATATATATATATATATATATATATATATATATATATATATATTTATATTTATATATATATATATATATATATATATATAAATATAAATATATATATATATCGAAAGTATAGTTATGGTTAGCCAAACTCTCTTTAAATGTGGTTGATGTCATGCCAATATAATTCATGATCGTGTTAGGGTTGCTTGTTGTGACTGTTGCTTTGTATACTATGTCCTTAGTCATGCATTGTTTCTGAAGTGGGCATATTGTGTTTTTCGAACAACTGCAATTGACAGTGTCCTGTGCCTTGTTCTTCCTAGCTATATGTGCATTGTGCTTAATGATTATAGACCTAACATTGCTCATGTAGCTATAACTTACTTTTACCGTATTTCTGTTAAAGATCTTATGCAGCTTGTGGTGCGAAGGAAAGTGCTTGTCGATAAGGTTAAGAAAATTACGCCCTATGTTAGTGCTGACATTCATGCTAAATGGTGGGTTGAACCAAATGATTTTACGTTGCCTATTTCTGCGTGCTTGCTGTGGTGCATGTTGAGTGTAGTTAAGATCATGATAAAAGTTGCTATGGTCAAGTGCGTTTTGGTATGCAGGTGCAGATTCCATAAATGTTTGCTCATCTGATGAAAGCATTGCGATGCGCTTGTTAACTGATGTAGGAAGCTGCCTTATAATGCTAGGTGGATGATTGGAGTACCTATTTATGTATAGCGGATCGTCATTGGGCTTCCTATATAGGGCCTATATTTT